GTAGGAGTCAGAAGAAAAGTGGGCATTGTTGTCCAGTGCCTCCAGTGCAGGCTGGGCATTCAGCATCTGTTGCTCTTCTGGGCTGTGATGCTGGCTTGGTGTGTCAACTTGGCAGATCGCTTCCCTCCAAGGTTGTGTTCCCATCTGCAGAGTGGGAACGCTGCAAAATCTAAATTGCTTTACTACCATGGAATGGAAACTCCTACATCCTGACAAAAAAAAAAAAAAAATCAGCCTATGTTTCTGTGATGGGTCAAATTCATGCTTGGTGTAGCTCTAAAGTCAATGACTTGACCCCAGGAGTGAACTCGTCTAAAAGACTTTTAATTGGCTAGACTTTTCTTGCCTCCCAGGAACTCCCAGAAGATCATATCAGTCAGTTGATCCATAATGTCAGAGAAGAGAGAAAATGCACTGTTTTTTAACTTAAGATAAAATGTTTACAAACCACTGCACCCTGATGTTTTAATCACAATTTTTAAAATTGGCACAACACAGAAGATAACACATAAGAAATCCTTGTTTTAGCCAGGGGCTAACCTGGTAAGAAAGCTTAATTAGAAAGGCTGCTACAGGGAGCCAGTCAGCTTTGTATATAAATTGCAGTCGGCTACTAGCCAAGTTCCACTGAAAACATGGTGTCGCTAAAGTTGTGTGTGTTCATGTAAATTTCACAACAGTGTGGTTTTTGTTTTGTTTTTTTTTGTTTTTATAGAGATATATAAAATGTACTTCTTAAAGCTGTTACTAAATATCAGGGTTGGGGTGAATTAATTTAAAGATTTGTGGGGACTGCTTGTTCTCTGACAGCTTTGAGATACTGCTGGATTTTCCTGGGATAGCTGTAGGTTTATGACATTGTGTTCTCGGAGCATCCTGTTTTCTACCTTGCACAGTTACTGAGGTAGCCTTGATACTCAGCCCTTTTACCATGGAATTTCTATTGAGGTGCTGGGCGTTCAGGCACCTCCTGTACAGTGTTGTGATGTCGGAGGATCCCCAGCTCTCCTAATGCCGTATTATTATAGCATATTTGAAATGAGCAGTATTGGTTGTGAAAGAAGCTGTGGGTCCCGTGGCACTGCCTTAGAGAAACTCTTTCAAAGCCTGTTTCTTTAATGCATGAATTCCTTCAAATGCGTAACTTTGTACACATTTCCATTCACTAAAATGATGTATTCTTTTTTGCCTTTTTAAAAAAATAAAATGTCAATACCCACACTTTAAAATGTCTGTCAGTTGTGCTTTTAAGAAGTTGTCAGTAAACTTTGCCATGGAAAGGAACTTATCTATAGCAATAGCTTTCTCTAGCCCTTTTCCTTGCTTGAGCCCACAAAAGCAAAGGAGAATTGCCTGGACATATTGCCTGTAAGTGTTAATATGTCCATGTACTCCATTTATTTTATTTCTTTCCCTTTCAGGTTGGGCTTGTGGAGCAAGTGGGAAGCATTGGAGTGGCTGTACAAAGGCCAAAGTATAGGCTATGAACCAGGGTAAAGAACATCTTGTTCTTCTTAAGACCAAAAAAATAAGAGGCTAGAATTTGTTTCTTATCCCTTCTAGTGTTCAGCCTATCTTATTATTGTAGTATTCTTTCAGTCAAGGCAGTTCTATGGTTGTACAACCATTCTGGGCCTTCAAGGCATCTTCCAGCACCACATCACCTTGCATGTTCCACTAGTTACTTTTGTTTTCTTGTGTGGGATAGTGAACAAAAACATAGTCCCAAACCGCCAGTGCTCCAAGAATTACTGAAATAACTTCCAGCCTGCATCCCCTGTAAATACAATTGCTGTTGCTCTTTGACTGATTTCTGTCCTGCTTTGCTTTTCCTGTATTAATTGTACTGCCTTCAAAATAACTCATAACTTCCCATGTGGTGTCATACTGAACACTTCACTGAAGTCTGGATAAATGCAGTTTCCTGCAATTCATGAACTAGAAATCAAGTGAATTAGCAAGAAAGCTACTGAGTTTGTTTTGCGTGTTCTGTCTTGGGATAAACCGGCACGTTTACCAACTTCTAAGATGTGAATGTTTATCCTTCAAAATCTGTTTAGAATTCTTGCGTATTAACTGCAATCAATTAACATAGCTGCAGAGATCCCTTCCTATTTTCCTTAAAGACTGCTAGTTTCTTTTCTATTCCTTAATCACGCAGTATCTTTCACTGATGTGATCATGTATTAACATTCTTGCTACTGACCTTATGACTATGGACTCTGGGATTTTTTTTGGTGTACTCCCTACTTCCTCCCATTCCTTTCACTTCCACCTGGGACATAGTAATTCCTTCTTTTTTTTTTTTTTTTAAATAGCCTTATCTTACTTTTGCTTCAGTGTTCTATGTTGTTATCCTTACTAAGATTGCAACAAAACCTGGAGCTAGTTTTAAGTCAAAGTTTAAGTCTGTTTCTTTTTATCTCAGCCATATACCCACTGTGTAAGGCCTCTACTTTTCTGGAGTCTGGAGAAGTGGTGGGAGCTGCTGAGCAGATTCATTGTCTGTGGGTAAGGGAAGGTTCAGATTGAGGAGGATGGACAGAGAGCTAGAGAGATTTCAGCCTTGCCTTCAAGAGGCATCTGCCTCATTTGAAACATGACTTGGGCAGCTCTTTGCCAACCCTGTAAGGAGAGTAGTGCATAGAGTGGTTCAGTATGCTAAGTCTGAGGAGATCTAGAGATGTTGAAGTGTGGAGAGGGAAAGATGCAGTTAACTGCAGATGGTATTTTCCCTGGCAGCTGGCGCTCTTAAAACTGCTGTAAGTTGTGATTCTGTTTGTTTTCAATTTGGTTGCCTCCAGAGAACTGGGCAAGTAATTCATGTGGTAGACTGGTGCACACTAAAAGAGATTTCTTCCTCCTCCCCTCTCCCCCCTCCAAATTAAAAAGATAAGGAATCATCTTGCGGTTAATGCTTTGTTTTTGGAGTCATTGGAAAGGTAAGAATCATCTGGCCTAATATAGATAGCTAAGTTTTAGGCCAGATGAACTCTAGCCATCAAGCTATTGAAATATATTTACTTTGTAGGAAGAAATAAATCTACAATTTAAACTATTCATGCTTTACAGGAAGAGTAATTAGTCACTAGAACAAAACATTAAAAGATGTTGTGGATTCTCTATTGTGTGAAGGTTTCAAATTGAAGCTGCCTGTGGCTGTCTTGCTGAAAGGCCTTTCAATTAAACAGCAAGCTGTACTCCAAGAATAAGTCCTGGTGGAGGAAATTCCCAGACCTCTATATTGCAGAAGGTCAAGTTGACAGGAATTGTTCCTTCTGACTGAAAACATTTATGAAGTTTATAAAACAGAGTGGAGAAGTGGTCAAGTATTCCGTTCCTCTTTCTCGATTCTCAGCCTGATCTAGGCTAACTGTTGCAGGTGCTCTAACACAGTGGTGCGCCATCTGGGACCTGAGGAAACCTGCCTTTGACTCCCAGTTCTCCTGGGGCTTTGCAAATGAGCCTCAGAAGGCTCTTCTGGCTCTGTTGGCTTTGTCCTTCTGTAAAGTGGCAGCAGCAGTGCTGATCTCTAGACTCCATTCTGATCTCACACACGTGTGCTGTACAGGAGCAAGGTGGCATCCCGAAACACAAGACCCACCTTGCTAGGCACTATGGTGTGGACAGGAGAAATATAATCCCTTTGCGTAGCTCTTCTGCCTTAAAGTGAATTTCAGTTCTCTGTCTGTCAGTGGTGAGTGCTGGGCATGGCAGGAGTTTGGTGGAACTTGTGTGACCGTCTCCAAGCAGGGTTGGTGGGACTGCCCCAGAGCTGGTTTCCACATGGGCTCAGAGACAGCTGCCCTAGGATGGAAGTCAGCACTGACACGTGAGAGCCACTTGTTCTCTTCCCATCTCTGTGCCATCATGCCCTTGGTTCATGACTTCCTTTTCCACCAAGAGGAGCCACTTGGCAGCTCTTTGGGAGAAGGAGGTGGGACCAAGGTCACTGAAGGATACAAACCCTAAGGTTGGTGGGACCCGAGCAGGACAGCTGTGACAGTGCAGACACGTGCTGGAGCTCACTAACAAGGATCTCCACAGCAGGGCTAGTGACTGCGTACACTGCTCTGAGGACTGCCACATCACTGCTGTGCCAATTAGGGACTGGCACGCAGAGGTACCCTTTAGCAGGCCAGTATGCTGCAGCCTCCTGGTGACCCCCTTTCCCTAGCATGTGGCATGGCAGGTGAGAGTCCCTGCAATGTGACTGCTTGCAGAGCTGCAAAAGCCTGTTGCAAGGTCTGCAACCCAGGACAGGCCAAAGGAGAGGAGAAGGGCAGGTTTCCTTGTCTTTGCTCCTGGAAAGAAGCTGGTGGACCAGGCTTTGTTGATGGACATCACCGGCAAAGACTAGGCCACGAAGGCTGAGCTATTCCTTGCTCTGCCATGTGAGTCCTTGCTAGTTCTGCATGCTGAGGTTGTGCTTGGACTCCCAGCTCTCCCATGCAGCCAAGGATTTTTGTCTCCATCCTATACCTCAAGATAGAAAGAACTCTTAGCTCACCACCCAATTCCAGCCCAGACAGAGTCTTGATGTGTCCAGGACTTCCAAGCTTGTGGGCAGTCAGCTCTTTAGGAGCCTCTGTAGCCTTGGAAAAGTGTCTTATTCAATAAACTATATTGCTTATTGATTATTTACAACTTAGCTGAAGAAACCCATTAGCTCTCCGTTTAAAGACTAATGAAAATTCCTTCCTGGCAGCACAATCAAACTCCTTGTTGAGAGGGAGGTTCCCTTTCCATTCAAGCCCCAGTTTAGGAACAATATCCCCCATGACTCAGTGCTCCTGCCCCAAAGGGGGTTTTTCTGGGTGCAGACTGTGCATTTGAGAAATACATTACGGACCTCTAGGCAAATGTATCTAAAACCCAGCCGCTGTCATGTAGCTTGTCAGTGCTGCAAAGGACTAATTTGGT